ATAGCTTGGGCCCCACGATCCACATGTCAAAAAATGGATGGAGCCTCACCCAACTTTGATTGGTTGGGCCTCTACCATAATAAAAATTTTCATACAATACCCATACAACCGACAATACAACAATATCAGTACCAAAACGACCCCCACATGTCTTCTTCCTCGCAAAACTAAACTCCAGCGAACTTAAATCGCTAACGAAACCTAGAAACCCAAATCGCAACCCAACAAAGCGAATCGACCCAGCAGCATTCGGCCCAGGAGCAGCCCAGTTGCGCGTGAATATTCGAGTGAGCCAGATGGAAGCATCTTGACGTCTCGCTCGCCCTTCTCAAGAAATCAAATGCCTCAATCGTTGTCCCGTTGAGGAGCTGTACAATTTCGGACAGAAATTCAGGCTGGCAGCCTTATCTCTAGAGAGATTTCGAATTTCAAAATTTGAATTTCACCCGATTTTCCTCCCGTTTTCCCCCCTAAATCAACCCAAAATCTCCTCTATTTAAGGGTCTTCTTCTTCATTATTTAGGATGGCTTTTGGCTGGTAGAGGAACAGAAAGAAATAAGAGGAAAAGTTTGGAAAGGGATTACAAAACACAACTTATATTGAAAGCAACTAAATTTTTATTTTAGAAATACAGCCGAACAGGCTCAGTTTTCTATTTCAATTCTCGCTTTGGGCGTCAGAGTTTCTCAGAGTCGTATTCCGGTGTGAAAGCTCGTGGTCTCAAGCTCGACGTCCTAGTTCGTTGCCCCCAAAAAGGTAATACTTCTCGTTCGATAACATCTTCTCCGTCTCTTCTTTTATTCCGATCTTTGATGTTGGAAAATCTCCTTTTGGTGGTTGATTTTCTACTTTGTGTTTGAGTTCTGATCGATTTAATATGACATATGTGTGTAGGCGTTTTCATGAGTTAACTTTAGTGTCGATTCAAGCTTTACCGTCCTATATTTAGCATTAGTGTTTCTCTGTGATTGTATTTAAATTCTGCTTTTGTTGTCTCCCCTTTCGAGTCTGCTTCGCGAATGTGTGTTGCACTTAGTTTGTTGTTGTTTAATGTCATTTGTTCCTAAGTTTGAGAATTCCGAATTAATTGACATATTAAAGGTGTTTGTGATGTTATCCGTCTTTTATTTTTATCTTAGCAGTTTCCTTCTCCCTTCCCTCATACCATTGTTGTGAACAGACTAAGTCTTAGCTTGGAGCATCTATTTGTGTTTTACTGGTTTTCGATTTAACTGTTCTTTGTTTGCCATTGAATCTAAAGCATCCTGATTCAAAGATTTTCTCTTTCTCTTCCTTTAAATCTATCGATTGCTTTGATCTCGCTAAATTCCTTGCCTCAAGTCTTTTCCTTGATTTAAGCATGCGATTCGGTACATGTTAATCTTCCAGCAGGGGACAGAACCTTAAACTGGTTAACATGGAGTTTAAATGTATTTTAAGCATGTTTGTTGTTGTCCTAGTTTTGGGGCATTAGATGTTGCTCAAGCATGATAGTTTCTTTCTTTTCAAGCATGTTTTGAAGCAATATAATTAATTAGCTTTTCTTTATTTTCTTTTAAAAATGCATGTGCTAGTTGGAATATATCTTATTGGATTTATTTTCTCCTAGTTTGAAAATATATATGTTGATTGTGTTCTAGTAATTGTTTCCTATGCATAATCACTTGTAGAACTAATTATTTCTTAACCATCTAAGATTTATTCTTCCTTTGCTGACTAGTTTTACTTTCTTTTGTTCATTGTGAGCAACTGTGGATCATTTCATTTGGGGCCAGATCCTTTTCTTGCATCATTGATTGGGCCACTTAGGCCCAAAGTCATTCCCGCATCACCCTTTCACTATCAAGTCTCGAATTGGAAAGCAAACATTCGAATTTCCAATGGAAGGCAATATACAAGGCGGGAAAATTGAAATTATAGAACCCGGGAGTCAGAAAATGAGCTGATATTCAAGAATATACAGCGATATACAATAAGTGTATACGCTGTATATGGTGGCAAAAATGGGCCAAAAGCCCTTCTTAAATTTCATATTTGCATTTGTGTTGTATTTGGGCCAAAGGTCCATATATTTTTAGTATTACTCTTCTAGTTTTAGGACAGGAAATTGGACAAAAAGCCCACTTATCTTTGGCAGATTTTGTTAGTTTTAGGACAGGTACAAGTGGTCCAAAGGCCCAAAACAAAGTAGGCCCAAGTGTTGGTCCAGGCGAACAGAAAATCAGACTTGGGTCCAACGCCTTCTCTCTCTTTATTTTATCTGTATTTCATATTTGTTTTGATTATTTATTTGATAGTTAATTTTAAGGTTTTTCCCTAGTTCAATTCCCCAAAAGATGAATCAATTATATCTTTCTTAAAATCAAATAAGTATATTTTATTTTATTCGACTTTAGAATATATAGTATTTTCCACTTAAGTAATATTCTTATTTTTCTTCCCCTTGAAAATGAGTTTAAAAGTTGTTTAGTTCTTCTATTTTAATCAAGCATGTTTTTTCTTTTAAACATATTAGCCAAATTGTTAGTTATCGGATAATCGCGTGTTAGCGGGCATTTCGGGTGTTTTCAAACCCTTCCCGAAATGCTAATATGAACCCCGAACTCCTTTAAATATTTTTCAATTGATTTCTTGTTTTAATCAGTTTTCTTAATTTTACTTTAAAAATTAAGTGGCGACTCTTATAAACCCGTTGTATTCTCTTTTTAAATAAAACAAATTTAAAATTATAAAAAGGTTAGGCGTCTACTTTCTACACTCCTCCCTCCCCGGTCCTTCCGTTCCTATCTCTTTCATAATTTTTTTTCTATTTGGATCTTGTCCATCATTTTAATTTTTTAATTAATTTATGACAAACAAGAGAGAAAAAAAGGAGGAAAATAACGATGCATTCATATAGAAATAATTAGTTCAATAAAAAGATGACTTAATTAAGCAAATATGTACAAATATTACATTTTTCTTTTGTGTGTACCCAAGATTAAAAAAAAAAATCATTTCTCTTATCCCTACCCTCATCCCATCACGACAATAATACAAATTAAAATAATATAAATATGTGAGTTCATTTCAAGTTTGAGTCCCGGATATCCTAATTAAGAATAAGAGATTAAAAAAGGAATAAAAGAGAAAATGAACAAGACATTTGGATAATTGAGAGAAAAATTTAAATTAATGAAAATAATAATTTCTTTAGATGGACAATCAGTCGGGGTAAACATGGATTTTAGTTGGATCCCCATTTATGAGTTGGATTACGTTATAATAAATTGAGGTTGATTTAAAATAGGTCAATAGGAAGATATCATGAAATTCAATATTATTTTCAAGTGTATTGGGTCAAAATATGAATCATAAGTGGTTTTATAGAAAAATATAATTTGTAAAAATATTATTTCTATTATTTATATGAGAAAGGGTTTAAATTTGGACCAATCATATTAATCAATATAATAAATAGATATTTAATAATTTTACTTTAAGGGAGCTATTAAAAATAAGGGCAAATATGAGTCAAAAGATTAACATAGAGGGTATTTTTGAGCCGAAAGGTGGACATCAGAGATATTTTAAGACCAATAGGTGGATATATGATAATTTTGTACTAATTCAAATACTTAAGAGACATTTTAGACCCTTCTCCGAAATTTCAATTCAAACCACTTCAAATTTCTCTCGAAACGACCCATAATTGAGATTAAATCCTGAAGATTTAGCCAAATTATTCCTATAACACCCATAAGAAATAAATTTCAATTTTAAAAAATCACTACAATAAAATAAATATTTAATTACAATATATTACTCCTTCTATTCCTATTTACACATCCATTTTTTACTTGGCACACCTATTAAGTAAATAATACTTGACATAGTGAGTTTATCATTTTACCCCTATTAATTGATAGAATTCCAAAATCAATTTACTCATTAAAGAGGTTCTACCTTTTTTCAAAAATATTAACTCTCTAAATAAATTGAGGGTATAATAGGTAAAACATATTGTCGTTTTTTTATTTGTAAAAAGGGACAGAGCAGTATTTTTTGGAAGAAGATTTAACGACAATTGAGTTAATATCATTGTGTCTAGAGCCGCTAAAACCTTGATTAGCGACATTTATATTGAGTGTTGGTTATAATTTATAAATTATCATAATGCCAATAAATACTCCCTCCGTTCCTTTTTATATGTCACATTTTTAGATTGCACTTGCATTATGAAATTAAGTAACTTTATCATTCTACCCTTATTTAATGTTTTCTTAAGTCAACTTTTCAATAAATGATGAATATGCTAGATTTCAAAAATTAAAATGAATTTGGATGACTACTTAAATTTTTGAGTTTATTTCAAAAATCAGATTTTATAGAATAGTGAATGGAGAGAGTAATTAATCAATGTATGAAGAACTCCAAGTATATTATTACCACTAAATATAATGTAATGATAATTATATTATTGTCGCTATAAAATTGCAGTAAAATATTTTATTTGTTATAGTAAATTAAAGTTTTCGAGCTCAATATTAAGCGAGTTTCAACCTTGTTTTCAAACGAAATTGTATCAATTCAACTTCTAATGAGCTCAAACTCGGGATTTAGCTTCAATGAATAATTTTGAAGAAGAATTGACAAGACTCAAACATTTCAAACTCAAAAATCATAAGTTTCTATCTCTTCTATTCATCGTCTTTCATCGATATCACACTCTTTGTTAGAATATCTAAGTCTCCAACTTGCGGTTAATTTGAGAGGACAAATAAATAGAAAATTATGTTTACAAAGGAGTTCCTCCCCTAGACAATAGCTGATCGATAAGAAAAATAGAGTTTAAGGCCAAATTTGGGTTAATTAGGTAGCTTTTCCATAAATATATGAATGTGATATTCATTTAACATTAATTGATACATGAGGTACATATTGAATTTTTAACATTACAATTTTATAATGTAATCACAACTTCAATTTAATTCTTGTGATAGTATACAAACAAATTTATCTAATTTTTCAATAGGCAATTGGTAGGTTTTTGTAAACCAGAAACTCTTCCTCTGGCATTAACGCATGAAGCTTCAGTCTGCTGATTTTGGTAACTAAGATTCAGATCTTCAAGTACTATGCCGCTACATGGATTAGTTGTGCTACAATCAAGTTTCACTGCAACTTTCGTAGCCGATGTTCCATGTATATCTTGATATGTTACATCACTTATCTTTATGCCCGAGCTCTATAAAAAAAAATGAATAATATAATTAGATTAAGGTAAGGGAACATGATCTAATGTTTTTATTATTGTATTGATAAATTAATTAACTTGTTCAATTAATACCTGCTGAGGACAACTCTCATCATGATTAGGGCAGTAATTTTGATCTATGATAATTGGGTTTTGAACATTAACCATAACAATATGTTGAAAGAGAATATTTCTAACAAATCCATTGCTAGGCCTTGCCCAAGTTTTGACTCTCACACCATTTGTTGTTCCAGTAAAAGTCACAGTCTTAATTGTCACATTTTGGACTCCCAACTCTTGCTCTTTCCAGCCTAAGCTTCCAATGCTGCAACAACAAAAAAAAATTCGACATACATTTTAGTTGAAAATATAAATCAATAAAAATGAAAGAAGTTGATTTTGTTTATAATAAATATAATTTTTATGTTCCAAACCTTATTCCATGGCCAGGGCCACATGCAATGCCTTCAATCCATAAGTTAGAAGTTCCAGGACCAATAGATACACAATCATCTCCAGTACCAATTTGTGAGTTCACAATACTAACTCCTGATGATAATTTTACATGAATTCCATCAGTGTTTTTGCTATTTCCTTGAGCTAATACCTTCATTCCTTGTAGCTTCACATTATGGCATCCGTCTACTAATATTTGAAACTTTTGACTATTTTGTACGGTTACTCCACTCATTATAATGTTGTTTGAGTTGTAAAAAGTCAATGCCTGCATCAAAATTTAAGGTAAAATTAAAAAGAGATAGTTGTGCTTGTTTGACATAAAACAAAAAGGAAAGTGTTGTGGGTATGCATGTTTTCGGAATATAATTTTTATTCATCACGTCAAACACTGAAAAACATTTTTTATGGAAAACTTAACGAACCGTAGTCCCATCAGGGCATTTCTTGTTTTTGGATTTCTTGCAAGCCCAAAGAGCAGCACCTTGACCATCAAAGGTTCCACCATAGATGGAAATGCCATTGACTTTTTCAAATTTTATCCAATTTTCGTCATTGCCAATGACATTATAATCAGATGGAGCTAAGAGAGTCCCATCAATGTGTATAGTAATAGCCTTGCTCTTGCATGTTTGTCCATTGAAATATGCATTGTGAATCAAGTATTTTCCACTTGGCACATTAATAGTGGCGGGGCTAGTAGAAGCACAGGCTGCTGCCCATGCATTCAAAAAGGCTTTGGATGAATCAGTTTTTCCATCGGATTTTGCTCCATAATTTTGGACATTGTAAATATTGGTATTTGCTGCTAATGATGAGTTGATTAAGAAGAGGAAGAAAAATGCTAAGGGACTCATTTTGCTAAGGTGAAATTGGTAAGTACAAAGCTTTTGGAAGGATTCAAAAGACTTATCAAATTATAAATTGAGGTGATGAGGAATTGAAGTAGTTTAGAGGGATATTTATAGGGTGAGTGAATTAAACTTGTTGCTAATCAATTTTAGAATTCAATGAAAGTTAGGTTAATTTTCATTAATATTTGGTCATGTTGAGGATTTGGAAAAATGAGACTTGAGATAACTATCTAATATATATGCAATCACATGGAGTAGGCATTTGTTGACACACTAGCTAATTTTGTGTTATATACATTGAAATATAACGTTTTGCATACCTTCCTCTTCCCATTTACTCCAAAATTAAAACTTATCCAACTTACTCATGTCCAATATTTGGCAAAATAACATGTAATGCATAGAATTAATATAATTCTAAATAATGAATCACCATTGATATCGACACATCCAAATAGCCAAATGCTTGCAAATGAATTGGGGACTAACTCAAAAATTGATTGGCTAGATATATATAGTGCTATTTCAATGAAAGTTAGGTTAATTTTCATTCATATTTGGTCATGTTGGGGATTTGGAAAAATGAGACTTCAATAACATATAGTTGTGCTATAAACATTGAAAAACAATGTTTTGCATACTTTGATCTTCCCATTTACTCCAAAATTAAAACTTGTGCAACAGACTCATGTCCAATATTTGGCTAAATAACATTACACGAATTAATTCTAAATAATGAATTACCATTGAGATCGACACATCTAAATTGTCAAATGCTTACAAATGAATTAGGAGCTAAGTCAAAAATAGATTAGTACTATTTCAAGTTCGAATAGATTTATCCCAAGTTCTTTTTCCAGGATTTATCCTAAGTTTATGGATAAAGAGCTTATTTAAATTGTGGTACTTATTTAGGGAGTCTATAGGGAATTATAGGCTACTAGGTATTTGGCAGCTATATTTGAGTTTAAGAAATATCACACAAGGTTAATAATATAACATGCATGCATTGAATTAAACACATGTTGAAGTATTTATAAATTAGAAGCAATTATAACATGCTTATTCAAAACTCAGAACCCAAACAAAAGTGGACTTTGGTACATATATCTGAAGATGGCGATTGTCCTAACTTCCTAGGTGACTTTGAAATAGACAAGTCGCACAACAAATTCACAACATCTATTATATACTCCTTGGTCTTAATAATTTACGTGATATTTTTCAAATTTTGAGAATCAAATAGATTTTTCTTAGTAATTGACAGCAATTTTTCATCCACCGTTTAAATATTTTGAATTATCAATTATTATAACTTATACTTTGTAGTTCCTACCAACATTTCCAACTATGTAAATTTTATTCTTTAAAAAAAACAAATTATGTCCAAATTTTCGATTAAAATTCAAAAGTTTGATGTTCGAGATTCGAACCGTGTATTTAAAAAAGTCAATGTGAAACATGGAATCCCAAAACACAAGGAATACGAGCATGCATGCAAGAATTATGCAGTAACCCATTTTCCACGTCTTCTTTCTACATACGTGATGTAACTATTAGGAGGATAAGATAATATTAATGATCGTAGCTTTAATTTTCTTCTATGTATCGTTCCAATTTTATCGAATGTCCCCAAAGGACTAGCTTTAATTTTCTTTGTTTATTGACATCTTTTTTTTTCTCTCTTTTTGGAAGCAGAGAAGTAGGATGGGGGAAGGGAGGATCGATCGCATGAGCTCTAGATATCATTTGCTTAATAATTGATTATGACGTGACATGGAGTGTCAAATAAGGGATCCGGCTCCTCTCCATTTTTCTTCTCTCCATTTTCCCCAAGTTCTAGCTAGGATTGGAGACACATGTCATAGTTTAGAATTAATGGTTGAGATTTAATTAATTAAAATAAAGTCATAACCATAGTTATTTACTTCCATATATTTCTTCTTAAATATTTTTGCAATCCATTATATTTTCCCTAAATATATTTTAAAAAATTATTTACTGCCTTGCATACGTATTTAAAACTTTTACTAAATATTTCTACTTTTTTGAAAAAAATTATAATAAAATTAAACGTTTTCATTATTCTGATAGAGTATTAAGAGCTAAAGTGTCTATAGAGCAATATGGACTCCATTTAGGGAGTAAGAAAGAATTTAAAGTTGAGTGACAAAATATATTTTACCCATAAAATTAGGGGAAAAAAACGTCAGGTCACAATTCTTAATTATCTTTATTTGGAAAATATTATTTGAGAAATGACAAACGTTGGGGAAAAAGGTAAAAAATCAGCAAAAAATACTTTAAGTAAATAAGAAAAGAAATTCTTTTAAATATATTTAGGAAAAATATAATGTAAATCTAGAATTGTTGGATTGCAAAAATATTTAAGATGCAAATATATGGAAGTAAATAACTATGGTTAGGACTTTGCTTTAATTAATTAGATCTCAACCATTAATTTTAAACTATGACATGTGTCTCCAATCCAAGATAGAACTTGGGGAAAATGGAGAGAAGAGAAATGGAGAGGAGCCGGATCCTCAAATAAGCAAAGCGGGTTAAGCTGAACAATTCAGATAGATTAATTAAAATTGTATTGAGTTAATAAATATGTGGGTTATTAACTTATTGAAGAGTTATACATTTGAGGTGAAATGAGTTGGATGAAGATAAACTAAATACTTCATTTGTTCCTAATTACTTGTCCAATTTTCCTTTTTTACTGGTACATTTAGACAAATCAAGAGAGAACAATTTATTTTTTTTACCTATTATACCCTCAATTAATTAATTTTGAAAAAGGTAGAACTTCTTGAAAATCTTAAATTTTTAATTTATCCACTTCATAATTAATAGGGGTAAAATGGTAAATTCACTATGTCAATTGTTATAGGTGTGTCAATTTAAAAGTGGACAAGTAATTAGGGACAGAGGGAGTATATAGTTGAGCATATTCTACTTTGAATTTGATTGAAATTTCAACGGAGAAGGGGCTAGAATGCCCCTCAAGTGTTTGAATTGGTATAAAATTACCCTCCATCCACCTATCGGGCCTAAAATACCCCTAACGTCCACCTTTCGGCTCAAAAAATACTCTTATAGTCTAACAAATAATACTCATTAGGTGGATGGAGGGTAATATTGTACCAAATATCATAGTTTAAGGGCATTTTAGGCCCGTTTTCTGTTAAAATAATTTGAAATTACTTAATATATAAGCTCACATAATTCACTTGATTTTAAATTTCATAGTAAATTTTGTTGACACCCAATTTTGATCCTCCCCGATAGAAATTAATTTTCGAGCTTCTTAGATTTCAAATGATTAAGAATAATTAGTTTATAAAATATTTTTCAAGTTTTGAAGTGATTTTAGTCATTTTTATAATATTTAAATAACACATGGCTCTTACATATTTATTGATATATTTTATAAATATTTGAAAACCATATCAAAAGATTTCTACATTATTAAAATAAGTATTTTTTTTTTTTTAAAATTTAGTTTTGGTTTGAATTATAGTTTTAACTTTAAATTAATTAGTTTATATTTAAATCGACTAGTTTACAATTAAATTAATTATTTTATTTTGTTAAGATTAAGAAGCTCGTTAATTTATTAAGAAGCTCATTAATTAATTAATATTAACCCGTCTCATCTAGATTTAGCCAAATTTGCAAATTAGTAAGACAATTTGGCTATTTTCCTTTTAACATAAGTTGATCTAGTCCTAAATAGGTCATCCTTAACCAATATTTAGCAATACAGAGATCAACCCACTAATTCTCATTCTTAATTGGGCAAACCACATAAATTCCACTAGTTTAGGTCGTAATTATTAAGATTCCCAATAGTTTCAAATATTACTTCATGTACCATATTTTATGCTTAGGATACATGAGTTTGAATCCATGAGATACATGTATCTATCGAATTTTAAAATTGAGATACAAAATTGATTTATTTAAATCAATTGTTTGGAACTAATTTCCTTAATTAGAGGAGTAACTGGGATTTTTAAAATACATAGATAATTAATTTCATTTTATTATTCTTTGAAATAGTAAATTCATTAATATTATTAATATAAGATAAAAACATGTAAAGCTTGGTAATGCATTTGATTAATTTCAAATTATTACTCTTAAAATAATAAATTCATTAATTTGATGTATCTATTATCAATATATGATGTATCCAACAAACTAAACATTTA